GGGGCGGCCCAGACGGGGGGTGACCACTTCCAAGTCCTCCTCCTCCTCCTCCTCCTCCTCCTCCTCCTCCTAACTCCTCTCCTCCTCCTCCCCCCCCCCTCCTCCTCGTCCTCCTCCTCCTCCTCCTCCTCCGCCTCCTTCTCCTCCTCCTCCTCCTACTTTTCCTCCTCCTCCTCCTCCTCCTCGTCCTGCTCGTCCTCGTCCTCTCCCCGGGGCGGCCCCTGGCGTCTCTCGCTCGCCCGGGCTGCCCTCGGCGCTCCTTGCCCTGGGGCGGCACAGGCTCGCCGAGAGCGTTCCACCTTTTCGCAACGTGCCCGCTCGCAGGCTCAAGAGGCAACTGCTGTTCGAGGCGAGGGAGCGTGTTAGCCCCGATGCAATGGGTCCAGGCCTCCCAGATGGGGTCCGAGCAGATGGGGTCGGAGGATCGCGCCGCATCGACGATGCATCGACGATGCGACTCGATGCGGAGCCCGATTTTCTCCACGCCGACGTCGCCGATGCATCGCCGACGGCGACGATGCTTCGCCGGTGCATCGCCGATGCATCGGCGATGCATCGCCGATGCATCGCAGATGTATCAATGATAAGGCGCGATCCTACGACCCCATCTGCTCGGACCCCATCTAGGAGGCCTCTAAATGGGTCCAGGGCCGTTGGCGAGCTGCGGCTCTGCGAGCAGCGGAACGCGCTTGTCTGCAGGCGTGGGGGGCGACCACACCGCATGGTGAGTCCGTGGGGATGCGGGATCTGGGGGTCAGCGCACGGTTCTGGGACTCGGGTCGTTCTCCGAGGACGTCTCGGGCGACCAGGGCCTCCGAGGTCCAAAGCCGTTCGGTGGCGGGCCGCGCGGAGAGCTCGTTAGGGAGTCCCAGGTCACCACGTGGTTCGTCACCATCCAGTCTTAGGGCCGCGGGCCCCGAATTGGGGGCTGGACGAGGGTGGCGCGTGTTTTTTTTTTGTGTGTGTGTGTGTGTGTGTCTGTGTGTGTGTGTGTTTTTGTTGTGCGAGAAGTAATGGCTAGTATGCTATAAGATCATGTGCACTGGCTGGGCACTGCGACCGTCGATCCTGTATCAGTTCGTACGCGCTGTATCCGCAGCTGATGAGATGAGCGACTACGGTTGTCTAGGTCACGCTGCGGGCAAAGGTCCGCAACTTGTGCCGTGCCCGCCACGGCCACGAGTTGATGTAGAGAGCAATCCTAATCTCGAAAGCGTCGGCACATATTGATGCGCGCGGCATCCATCATTGAAGACAATGGGCGACCTCACTTTTGACTCCCACGGGTTCACAACCAGAATGGCTGTTTATGCTTTGCCATTCTTGGCACTATGGCGTCCGCGATCATTGTTGGTGTATATATATATATATGTAGCTATATATGTAGGTTTCTTCTCCTTTGATTTCAGGTAGCCCACACGGGCACGTCAACCGTGACATTATGTAACAACGAAGCACATGTAACCTTTAAACAACAAGTGCAAATCAGGGCGCCTCAGACGACGCACAGTCGTGGCTCAATTTCGAACCAACCCCAATACGAGGCTGTTACTAATACGTTGGCATTCCTAGTGCGAGGTTCCCGCGCGCAAACTCTGTGAAGAATGCATACGTTTTTCCCTGTCGATGCTGCTCACGGAAGAAAGGTCTCAGGGGTCGCCGCAGTCGTTATTGTTTTCTCATGATCAAATTATGTGGCGATGTTGTTCAGGCTTTACGGACAGCCTTCCCACACCCCATAATGCGACATATACACATGAGTATGATTCTTGATGTCGTGCACAGAACAATCCTCAGAGGGCGCGTCCGCCGTTGATGAGCCCCCATAAGGAAACAACTTCGGGGAACGTTCCAGTATATCGCCACGTTTAGCGGAATGTGTCCCGCCCCCCAGCATTTGCGAACAATGCGCAAATCTTTTGTTTATGGTGCTGCGTCTTTTTCGATTTAAAACATTCCGCAACGGGCGCGTTCGCCGTTGGCCAAGTTACGTAAAAATGACAGCGCGTGGGAGTTGCCTCAATTTTTTTGAATTCGTTAGCGCAACATTTGCTACCACCAAGTGTGCGCAGCATATTCACCTTGGACGACCTGTAATGAGCCCCCAGGCTGGCGCGTTACACCATTTTTGTTGGCTGCGGGTTTACAACAACATTTGTTTCAGCAGGCTTGCGAACCACTGGAGGCCTTGCACGTTTATGTTAGTGCATTACAAAGAAATGCTGGTCTTGTAAACAGACTCTCGTTTTGACCCCATTCGATCAGTATTTCTGTGGCGCCGGCCTTGCAGAAGGATCCGCTTTGTCGCGGCATTGCAGGATCGGGATTCGTGCTGTGTTTTAGCGGTTTGGTGAGCTTTCGCTAATCCAATGCGGCGCCTCTTGCGACATTCGAACATACATTTCTTCTAGATTTGCCCTACATACGCATTCCTCTTGGAGGCGGCCTTACAGGCATATCATTGTATAGTGTTCTTGGGCAGTATTCGGTAACCCCTCCAGACCAACAAAAAGCACGGCCAGGACAATCAATGAAAACAGGGAACACACATCGAAACATAATGAACAGCATACTAAGTTTGCGAAGCGCACGCTTAAGGGCATTCGGATGTATAGAAAGCATCTGAGAAAGCAAAACACCACAGCCAATCACCTAACATCACAAATGACAACACATCACACACGAAAAAAAACACACATTAGGCCAATAACACATTTGGTAAACATCATGAGCATACTGAAAACACATGGACATTCATGAACACATTATTGTTATGTGTTTCATTGTTTTCTTCGGTGAGTTTTCAGCTTTGTTTCTGTTTTTCATTATTTTCCGCGGCTGGTTGCTGATCATATTGTGGTTGGTGGTAAAGAGATTATTGATACAGCGGTCGTGCACAAGGATTCCGTTTCTGACGGCCTTGCAAGACAAACAAATTGGAGTCGACGTGTGGCGGCCAGAATCCCCAAGTGATGCCTTATCGAATTTCGGGCGTTTCTCCATAAAGCGAAGAACAATGGAAAACAAGGAAAGCAATGACAAGTCAACGAACAACTACAAAACCGAAGCAAGATTTTGGAAGCGAAGCACAGTAACCAGCAATCGAAGACACAAGAAAACACAGTGAACACTTAACGACACATTTGAAACCACAGCAACACACAACAGCGAGCGAACACATATGAATTTCCTTTAACAGAAATGATGGACAAAGGGAAACCAATACACAACAATACTTTGCTATGTTTGTCCTTCTTTTCCGGTGTGTCTTCATTGCCTTCGTTTGTCATTGATTTCTTTGTTTTTCGTGGCTGGCTGCCGAAAATAGCTTGATTGCCTTGCAAATGGATCCCTTTTACGGCGGATTACAAAAGCATTCTTGTGTGGCGGCCTTGCAAAATAATCGTTTTTGCGTTGTCCGTATACAAGAATTTCTTATTGTTGAAGCCTCACACACGGATTCCTGTTGTGGCGGCCGGAATCATTTTTAGTTGCTTTGACATTTTTAGGAAAAAGCGAAACAATGAAGAAACAACGAGACAAAGAACACAACGAACACGAACGAACATATGACATATCGAAACACACCTTGCCTTAAAACAAGCCAAGCTACAGAACACCGATGGAAGCACGATGAACCACAGCGACCGTTTAAGAAAACATATGATAACAATTTCAAACACCACATTCGTGGAATGAGCGCATGCGAAACACAGTTAAACAGAATGGGCACCAAATGAAACCCATGATAATTCATTATTTCATAAATACACATTTCATGGCTGTTCGTTGTGTTTTCGTTCTGTTCATGGGTTTCCATTGTTTTTTTTGAGTTCCGCGCCTGGCTGCCGAACATCGCGTGGCTTCCCTGCGAAAGAATTCCTCTTGCGGTGGCTCTTCAAAAGGATTCTTCTTGTGGTGGCGTTATAAACGGCTTTTTTGTCAACCATATGCAAGAATTACCTTTCATTTTCTGGGGGTCTTACCAAAAGAATCCCGCTTGTGGCAGTCGGAATCCTTCATGTGATGTCCCGGCAATTTTCGCGTGTTTTTCTGGGGTAAGCAATGAAGCAATGAAAGCAATGAAAGCAATGAAAGACGATGCAAACAATGGAAGCACAGCAGAATACAAGGAGCAATATAAACATTTCGTGCCCACATTCTAACATCGAAGTTACAGGGGACCGATGTACAAACACTGAACCACCGTGAACACTTAAGAACACATGTGGAAGCACAACAGAAACACATTAGTACAATGTCAGCGTCTGACAACACAGCTAAGCACACACTACATCCTTTGGAAACACAGTGTGTCTGACGCCTGTCATCGGTTGTCGTTGTGATTCCGGTGTTTTCGTGGTTTTTGTTATTGTTTTCCTAGTTTTCCGCGGCTGACTTCCGAAAACAGTTTGGCCGCTCAGCAAGAAGCATTCCTTTTAGCGGCGGCCCCACCAACTCTTCTGGCGGCCTCACATAAGGATTGCCCAGGTTTCCGTGTAGGCGATCGAGATTGATTTTTCATGGTGGCATGAAGAATTTTGTTTTTGTGAAGGCCTTGCACAATGTTTCTCCTATCTGGGCCGCTCACGTACCTCGGGTCACGTTCTGCGAACGCCCCCTCTCGGACCCCCCCCCCTTGGACGCCCTTGATCGGGGGTGTGGGGTGAGGACCCAGGAGGGGTGGACATCCCACGGCCGAGGCCACGAATTTTCTGACAATTTCATGGCCATCTTTTCTTTTCGCACTCGAAGAGCACAACAAAGAATTGCATAAGCATAGTGTCTCGGAGGTCCGAGCGGATTTCTTGGAACCCTGACGGGGCCTCCGGCGACGCCCCTGACGCGCTGCGCGCGTCAGGGAAGGGGGGCCCAGCGCCGATCCAAGAACTCCGCGCGGACCTCAGAGAAAGCTTTGATAACAGGCCAGTTTCGGTTCTCCCAGACACACTTCTCGGCCCCCCTGGGCCGCACACGCTCCTCGGGCCAAGATGTGCGAGCACCCCCCGCTTGGGCGCCCCGCTCGTGGACGTCCCCGACTTGCGAGCTCGGCTCCGGGCGCACGGCCGTAGACCTCAAGGGGCGCCGCTCGCGAACGAAAAAGGCACGGGTCGGAGCGGACACCGTTGCTGTCGTGGCCAACGTGCCGCCTGCTAGCCCTTGGAGACCTGTCCACAGAGGCGCTAAGAAAGGGAAAGGACAAGGCTGTGTGCAGGATGCTTTCCGCCAGTGAACCCTGGCGCCGTGAAGAGGGCACGGCGTGCTGTTTTTGGCAACGTTCGGCCTCGGGGGGCCTCTTCGGGGCCCCAGGACTGTCCAAAGCGACGGAGGAGCAGCTGGTCCCCGGGAAGGCGTCCGGACGTTTGGTGAGCCACGGTGCCGAAGAAACACGGCGTCGGATGACTTGATTGGGGGGCAACGACAGTTGCGGCGCCCAGGGGCCATTCGGGCCATGGGGCCTTACGCGACCTCCTCATCTTCCTCTCCTCGTCGTCCTCCTTCTCCTGGCCTCCTTTCCTTTCCTCCTCCTCCTGCCTCGATCTTTCAGGATTTTGCGAGTTTGTCGCGACGTCGGATCTCAGGGTTGGGCACGGGGAGTGTGGAGGCGCACGAGGAGGCGGGGCTGCTCACGATCCGACCCGACCCCCCGACTTCGGCTGCGATCTCGGTCCGATCCGATCTGGCGCGAACCGAGTCTCTCTCTGGCCCGTAAGGGGCCGAGCCCGATCAGCAATCCCAGACATCTGGCTCGGGAAATGCAGCAATGGGGTCCGAGGCTCCGGCAGTGTTTTCCGCGATGCTGCAATTCGTCCCGCGGCGTCGGATCTCACGGAACGGCGCGCTTGGCGAGGCAGGATCGCCTCTGGGCTCGGGGGGGCCAGGGCTGGAGAAAATTCGACCCCCACCAATCGCCCAAGTATCGCCGAGAGGGGGGACCACCAGCCCCCCTCTCCGCGATACTCTTGGGCCATTGGACGACGTCGACGCCTGCTCCGATTCCCCCTTGCAGCGACGGTGCCCGCCGCGGTCGCCCAGCCAGCGCTGGGCTCGCCGCGGCGATCGAGGTGGGCGCGACTAACCTGAGAGAGAACCGCTTGGCACTGCGCATCAAACAAACGTCATCATCGAGCGCGCAGGGTTACGCGAAGACAGTCACGTGCAACGAGACGGTCCAGAGCACGATCGGGTGGAAGTTCGCGCCGATTATGTTAGGATTTGGGGCGATCCTGTTTCTGATCATCGTGGCGCAGTGTCTTTGCATTGCGCAATGATGGTGCCAAAACCTAGGGCGTTCCAGCAGGGGTACGACATGTCCAGCCCGCGCAATCAGACCTCGATGGCGGCCGAGGCGACGCGCGAGAAGGAGCTGGAACGGACGCGCGCCATGCCGCGCAGCTGAGACCTACCGCAGAGACCTGAGCGCGCCGTGTTTTCAGGTCCTGGCGGCATGGATGCATCGATGGCGTGCTAATACGTTGCGATTACGTTTTGGCTTGGGCTGATGGCGAGAGTAACTGCAGCAGCCAGGATCGCACCCTCGCGGCTTGTTCTTGGTGGCTGAGTCGGCACGATTCTGTTTTGGCCGCTGCTGGCCATGCGCGCGTCGGGCTCCCGTCCCGAGACGTGGCGGCGCGCGCGGAGGAGTGCTTCGACCGCAGTCATGGAGGGAAACATAGGGATTCTGTGATCTTTCACGGGGGCATCCGCCCCCCTGGGGGCCTCAGGGGCCGTCTTGGTGGGAAGTCCGAAAAGACCAACTAGCACTCGAAACGCATCCAAACATCATAGGATAATTCACGGGCTTTGCCTCGCGAGGCCCTCATCAGGATCCCCTTGGGGCCCTCTGGGGACGCCTGGAGGGTGTCTCGGGTCGTTTTGAGGTTATCTTGGGTGTTGTTGAGGCTTTTCCGCCGTGTTGGAGCCCTTTTGGAGCCATTCTAGTTGTTCTTTGGGGCAGTTTGGCGTCCACGGACGTCTGTCTTGGAGGCTGCGCTTCGGAGGTGCGTTGACAACCCTGTGCCCCCCCCCCCCCCCTTCCACCCCCTAAACGGGATTTTTTCCCAGGGGAGGGGGACAGGGGGAGAGGGGCTGCTGGATGTCTCACGCGACTATTTACCCCCAGCAAGCGGGGATCGGTGAATTTGTTTCCTCGCGCGCGTGGGGTCGTGATCGCGCGCAGCGACGCCCCGACTGCAAGGTTGCATGCGCGCGGAGCGCTGCAAATCAGAGTCAGGGCTCTCGGCGGCAGGCGCCAAAGGAACAGCTTTTGTTTCGAAGCCTGGCGGCCATCGTCCGAAAACTCGGGCGGCGGCGTGACAAAGGAGGGGGGCGAGGTGGAGGCTTCAAGAGAGGATACAGGAGGGACCCCAGAGGGGGCCCAGTAGGGCCCCAACGGGCCTTGCAGAGAGCGCCAAGGGGGGTTCCAAAACAAGTTCCAGAAGGGCCTCGTGAAGGTCTAGAAGGGGCCCGACAGAAACCCAAGGGTGCTTTCAGAGGCCTAACAGGGAGCAGCAAGAGGAGGGTGGGCTCCGAGCTGGGGCTCCGTCTCAAAGGGGGTTCTGCTTCTCGGGCGGGCTCCCGGCTTGGTCCGCGTCCTCGGCGTCGGCCTCGCCGCCCGTCCTCCCGCTCCCCCCCTCCTCTCTCCCTCTCGTCTCTTTTTCGGCTTCTCCTGCTTTCCCTCTTCCTCGTTGTCGTCGTCCTCGTCCTCGTCCTCGTTCGCGTTCTCGTCGTCCTCGTCGTCCTCGTTGCCCCTGCGCCTCCTACTCCCCCCTTCATCTTTGTTGTTCCCTCCCTTCGCCGTCGTCGTCGTCGTCGTCGTCGTCGTCGTCGCCACCGTCGTCGTCACCGTCGTCGTCCTCGTCATCCTCGTCCTCGTTGTCGCCGTCGCCGCGGCCGTTGGTGTCGCCGGGTCGTCGTCGCCCTTCCCCTCTGACCCTCGCGTGGGTTTGACGACGGCGCCAGCTCTCTTTAAGGGGGGTGGAGGAAGGAGGATGAGGTAGGGGGAAGAGGAAGAAAAGGAAGAGGAAACAGCAGAGGAGGGATGAAGAAAGGGAGAGGAGGAAGAGGAGGATGGACAAGTAGGAGGAGGTGGAGGAAGGGAGGGGATCGAAGGGGAGAGAGTGGGGGAGGGAGGGAGGGAGGGAGGGAGGGAGGGAGGGAGGGAGGGAGGGAGGAGGGAGGGAGGGAGGAGGAGGAGGAGGAGGAGGAGAGGAGGAGGAGGAGGAGGAGGAGGAGGAGGAGGAGGAGGGAACGGGGGATGGAGGAGGGAGGAATGGGGGATGGAGGATGGAGGATGGAGGAGGACGGGGTGGCGCACCAAAGCGAGGTCGACGACAGCGACGGCACCGAAGCCGACGCTGACGAATTCGACAACGACGAGAACAGCGCCGACGCCGACGCCGACACCAAGGCTGACGCCGACGTCGACGCCGACGTCGACGCCGACGCCGACGCCGACGCCGAAACCGACGCCGATGGCGACGACGACGACGACGCCGACGCCGAGGTCGACGCCGACGCCGACGCCGACGGCGGCGGCGGCGGCGGCCGCGGTTGCGACGACGGCGGCGACAAAAACGACAACGACGGCGGCCAGCCCCTGGCAGCAGGCCTCGGTCGCGCGCCTCCTGCTCGCGTCCAAGTCCGACCGCGCCTTCCCCGGCTCCGCCAACGCGGAGGGCGTGACGCCCCTGCTGAACGCCGCCCGGAGCGCCGCGCGCCAGCCCCTTGCGAGGTCGAGAGGAGGGGGTTGGGCTCCAGCAGGAGGGAGGGGAGGGAGAGAGGGAAGCAAGATTGAGACTGCGCCTCAAGGATTGCGAGTCTGACTGCCCACAGGAACAGCACTCGCTGTCCCGAGCTCTCAGCTTCTGGCCGCAGTACATGCCGGCTCAGGCCGGGGTCGACAGGGGCCGAGGATGACGATGACGATGATGATGATGATGATGATGATGATGATGATGATGATGATGATGATGATGATGATGATGATGATGATGATGATGATGATGATCATGATGATGATGATGATGATGATGATGATGATGATGATGCTGATGAGGATGATGAGGATGATGACGGAGATGATGGTGATGATGATGCTGATGATGTTGTTGATGATGCTGCTGCTGATGATGCTGCTGATGATGATGATGCTGATGATGATGATGATGAGGATGATGATGCTAATGATGATGCAGATGATGATAATGATGATGATGCTGATGAGGATGATGACGGTGATGATGGTGATGATGCTGATGATACTGATGGTGCTGCTGCTGCTGATGAGGATGCTGATGCTGATGATGATGATGATGCTGATGATGATGATGATGAGGATGTGTGGGAAAGATATATAAATAATGGAGATTCATTGGCAATAGTTTGTAAACGTTCATTATTATCATTTACCAGAAACATTTGGTTAACACAATTTTCATAAGTTATTTCCATGTTTAAATGTTGATGACGACGACGACGACGACGATGCTGCTGCTGCTGATGATGATGATGATGATGCTGCTGCTGATGATGATGATGATGATGATGATGGTGATGGCGATGATGATGCTGCTGCTGCTGCTGATGATGATGATGATGACGATGATGATGATGATGATGCTGATGATGATGATGATGATGATGATGATGAGGAAGAGGAGGAGAAGGAGGAGGCGGAGGAGGACAAGTGTAAACCCAACATTAATTAACGATGTTGCGATCAGCCCTCCCTCCAAGTTCACTCTTCATAGGCCCCTAGTGCGATGCACTCTCAATTCTGGAAGTGTGCTCCGTTGGAAGACAACCGACTGACGATCTGCAACCATGCCGAGCACCATTCTTTGGGCTTCGTGCCAGAACGCCATATTGGGGCTTCGCACGGCAACTCAACGTGACTCTCGCATCTTGACAATCCTAAATCGTACCAAACACCATTTCTCGGACGTCTGCGATAAGAATCTTTGAAACGGTTATAACCTGTCAAGAAGAATATGCGTGGCGCGAAGGCGAGAGACACGTTTTAAACATTGGCCACCCTCCATCCGTGCAATTCTTGCAAACTTTTATGACGAATGGCGCTTAGTCGAGGGCCACATATTGAAAAACGACCCGCCCTCCATCCGTGAAGCTGTTGCAACCTTTTAAGACGAATGCGCGCGGCGATAACGTGATATCCATATTTTG